AAAAAAAAAAAAAAAAAACAAAAAAAAACCACTGGAGATTTTCTTTTTAAAGCTTTATTTTATTTATTTTGACAGAGAGAGTGTCCACGTAAGCAGGGAAGGGACAGAATCCCAAGCAGGTTCTGTGCTGTCAGCCCAGACCCCGACGCGGGGCTCATGAACTGTGTGATCATAACCTGAGGTGAAATCAAGAAATTAAAAATGCTTAACTAACTGAGCCACCCAAGTGTGCCACCACTGGAGATTTTTTTTTTTAATCATCTCTTTATTATATAGATAATTTAGGGAGTCTGATTTCACAATTAATAAAATTTTTAAAAGGCAAAGTGATAAAGGACTAACGATTTTTATGTCATCTATATTGCGTAAATGCTAGTCGTCTTACTTGGCTTCAGCAAACTATTTTTAACTGAATAAATAAGGATATTGATCTCCTTTAATAAACTTTGCTTTTAGACATCTTCTAATTTGTGTACATCACAAAAATTACAAATTTAAATAGTGGGCCTTTGAAGGCTTCACAGGGAGGGTAAAATGAAGCTGACAGACCCAATGGCGCCCAGTAATTAAGTACAGATGGCATTGCCAGGCTAACACCTGACCTCTTTTGTAGAAAAGCCAGTTTCACGGTGGATCCAAAGGCTATAGAGGCATCTAAATGTCAGAACATTTTAGTATGGTAAGAATCCTTGTCTTTCTTATGGAAACACATAATCTAGAGCTACAGACTAAGAGCTAGAAATTATTTTAAGGGTGAAGAAACTCAATATACTTTCAATTTTTCTAGCCTGGAAAGTGCACTCTAACATTTGGACTAAATCCCATAATCCTCCGGGGATTACCTGCTTCTGCCTTCACCTCTGGGCTCCTCAAACATGATTATGCATGGGCAGAACACAAATCAACAGTGGATGGCAAAAAAAGGGGCAGCACTGGAATAACATCAGTTTCTCCCAATACCTGGCTGAGCATTTCATTAAAGAATTTAATGGATTACACAAGTTTTTTTGTTTTTTTTTTTTTTGGTCAAGAATATACTTGTATGACAAAGCAATTAAAAGGGGTAATGACTTTTAAACATACAATTATCTTAAAATCACAGGCATTAAGTCAGGAAACAGTGCTTTTTTTTTAATTTTTTTAATGTTTTTATTTATTTTTGAGACAGAGAGAGACAAAGCATGAGCAGGGAAGGGGGAGAGAGAGAGGGAGACACAGAATCGGAAGCAGGCTCCAGGCTCTGAGCTGTCAGTACAGAGCCCGACGTGGGGCTCGAACTCACAGACCTTGAGATCATGACCTGAGCCGAAGTCGGACACTCAACTGACTGAGCCACCCAGGCGCCCCAGGAAACAGTGCTTTTGATAAAAATGTGGAGTTTCATGCTATATACAGTTAAGAGAATGAATGAAATTTTGCAGTCTACAAACCATACGGATGACTGTCACAATGTTAAAAGAAGCCAAAGAGCATATACAGTATATCCCATCCTTTTAAAGTTCAAAAATAAGCAAAAAGCTAACATATAGTTTAAAAGTCAGGTAGCGGTGTTCTAGGGAAGCAGTCGCTGGAAAGGGAGCTTCTGGTGTGCTAGTAAAATTCAGTATCTTGATATGGATGTCAGCCATATCTGTGCACATAAATTGTGTAATTTTCTGGCAATATGTTACACTCTAACAAAGGTAAAAAAAAAAAAAAGTATGTTTTTTTAAAAAAAAGATTGTTACAGGGATGGCAGAAGACTTCTCAAAAATTTGACTTAGTCTAACTTTAGGATGTGGAACAAGTAACTTTTAATCGCGGTGACTTCTTTATTGTCTACACTATGGGGGAAAACCTTCAAGTAGGTCTGCAGCACTCAGATGTAATGAAATGCCAGACTACCAAAAATGAGGATTTTAATATTTAAAATGGAACTATGGTAATTACACATTTTTATCTTTATTAAGAAAGTAATAGGACTAATGATTCATTTCCAAGTTTTTAACGTAATAAGATCTTTCCTCTTTCTTTCAAGATCTTATTTTTAAGTAATCTCTCTACACGCAATGTGGGGCTCAGCTCGAACTCAAAACCCCGAGATCAAGAGTTGCATGCCCTACTGACTGAGCCAGCCAGGCACCCCACCTTTTCTTGTCCAGAATCAATCATAATTTATAACCAAATCCACCCATGGGAACAGTTACACAATATGCTACATACAAATAAATGTGTAATCTTTATTTATAATCTTTAACTTGTATCTGTAGTTTCTCTTCTAATCTCTTTGAAATAAATTCCATCTGAAAGAAGTGGTTAGTGTTTACTGTACAAATTTGAAATGTAATAAATTTGTATCATTATAAATGTAGAAAAGCTAGTAAATAGGGAAAGAAAAAGAAAAAAATACCTATTATTGTGCTACACTTCTGTTAGCATTTTCATGGGTTTCTTGCAACCTTTTCCACACATACACAATGTCCAAATACACACAAAAGTAGGGCCCACTCCAAATTCAACAGTTATGGATATAGGGCCAGTCTGGTTTCATCTATAGTACTCATATTCTACCTTTGTGGGATTATTTTAAAGAAAACACCAAGCATCATGTCATTTCATTTATAAACACTGCAGTATGTATTTCTAAAGAAAAGAAACCAAAATGAAAAAAAAAAAACATGGAAATTCTTACTTTTAAAATCATTAATATGCATTCCTTAAAAAATTCCTTAAAAACAATTTCCCCTGTTCTCTCTATTCCCTTACTACTTATTTAAAAAAATTTTTTTAAATGTTTTTATTTATTTTTGAGACAGACGGAGAGACAGAACATGAGCAGGGGAGGAGCAGAGAGGGAGACACAGAATCCGAAGCAGGCTCCAGGCTCTGAGCTGTCAGCACAGAGCCCGACGCGGGGCTCAAACTCACGGACTGTGAGATCATGACCTGAGCCGAAGTTGGATGCTCAACCGACTGAGCCACCCAGGTGCCCCCCTTACTACTTATTTAAAAAAAAATTTTTTTTTAATGTTTATTTATTTTTGAGAAAGAGAGAGAGACACAGTGCAAGTGGGATAGGTCCAGAGAGACAGGAAGACACAGAACGTGAAGCAGGCTCCGGGCTCTGAGCTGTCAGCACAGAGCCCGATG